GCCGTCACCACCAGTGCCACCATCTCCACCAGCGCCGTCACCACCAGTGCCACCATCTCCGACAGCACCGTCACCACCAGTGCCACCATCTCCAACAGCACCGTCACCACCAGTGCCACCATCTCCAACAGCACCGTCACCACCAGCGCCACCATCTCCAACAGGACCGTCACCACCATCACCAAGCGCTCCAAGCCCTGTCAAGTCATGGGCAAACACGCAAGCATGCATGCACACACACACAAATGGGCACATGCACATCTACAAGCAGCAGTAAGATATACAGTAAGATACATGCAATTGCTTGATGAAGCTAGGCAAGTAAGTACATTGGTGATGTGTTCAGGTTCGCACTAAAAACCTTTGTCGGTTGTAAATGACTTTGGAGTTTCAGCTGGTCAAGTGCCTTTCAGCTGTGTCTGTGCTTTTGGACAGTCGCCTCTCTCCACAGCGTTCCAGTAGTCCTCCTCATGGATGGACCAAAGCCCTAAGAGGGCGACATGTTTGGTTCCGCCGCGTCGTATTGGTCGAAGGGGGAAGATCCCGGGCACAGGAACTAACACTTCAGAATGGGTGGAAGATCATCAAAGCGAAGGAGTTTGTTGGACCGACCAAATGCCAATTGATCCCAACCAGTAAGCAGCTTGAAGAATGCTTAGAATGCTAGATTAAATTTAACAGACCGCTAAGACACCGGTTTAGAAACATAGTGCAAAAAAAAGGCTGCCCTTTTTGCACTATGCTTCTAAACGGGTGTCTAGCGGTCGTTTGTTGCAATCCCTGAGGCACGAGTACATAGTGCAAAGTATGTTTACAACCGTTCAGTCCAAATAAGATGTCAACATTGAATGCTGAAGAGACCAATGCGATGGTTTTAGAAGGAACAAGCAGGAACGAAAACGGGAATTTGGATCCTTCCAAAGCCCTCCTGAACACGTTCTTTTGCCATGGAAAAACTCTCCGGTCTGTTGCTGCCCGAAAGTGGCATCGAACTTGCCCCAAAGACCACGAAGAACATGGACCAGTCCATGTCCGAAGAGACCCAAAATCGCCGAAATCCACCTCTTGGGAGGTCCCCCCTTGTAAAATATTATATATATATATTAATACAAGTCCAAGGCTTTTGCCATACTTGGGCCATTGGCGCACCAGACTTCTGCCAGGCACTGGACCTGTTTGGGGAAACAGCACTGGACTGGTGGTGTAAAAAAGAACCTCTACCCTAAACCCTCTACCCCCCCTCCGAAGTCTCTGCTTTGGTGTACTCCCAGTGGAGTCTTTTGACGTTCTCGTTCTTTTTTCTTCCTTATCGTTTTACAGCACGTTGACGAACTGCGACAAATGTAGCTATATAGTATGGAGAGAAAAGGGAGGAGAGGAAAGGGAGGAGCCGGAAGGAGACTGTTTGGGATGACCACGAGGCAGGAGCTCTTTAGTCAGTGGACACCTTTGCAAAACCCCCCAACAACAACCCACCGGTCTCGGCCACCGAATCAGTCTCTCTCCTTCCAGTCTCGGCACTGCGCCCGGTGCTTGCGGAGGTCTCTCCAATGATGAAATCCACTTCTTGACTCCCTGGAGCTCACCGCTCGGGCACCCGTGGTCGACCGGAGCGCTGGACGTGGAGACGGGAGCTTCGCCAACGTGGACCGTGCTTGGAAGAGGCGGTGGGACGACGTCGCTTCTCGTCGTCTTCCGAGCGCGAAGAGGTCGGAAGCCCGACACAAAACGACATGTTGGAACGAAGAACCCATCCGTGGTAGACGCTCGGAACGGGGGTCCTTCGCCACGACACCGCGCTTTGAGATCCTGCCTTTCCTCAAAGCTTCGAAAAGCTGCCTGAAAACTGTGTCCACCCTCAGTGGATAGGGGTTGTGTCTTTTTTCATCCTCACATCCAGAGGCTGGGGCTGTTGAACACCGTCCAAACCAAAAACGACCCATTGGGCGGCGGCGAGATCCTTTGATCCCTTGAGATCCATTTCCCAAGCCCACGGAGCAGCGCCAAATCGTTTTTCGGGCTCTGCGAGAGCGGAGAGTGATCCAAGTAGCTTCTTGTTCCTAGTAGTAAGGCCAGGAGCCCCTAGTAGCATCCTCTTGCTCCTAGTAGCGATGCCCTTTGTTCCTTCGTAATACGAGAACGTGTCCACTCGAACTCACTCTCATGGAAGTGGACAAGGCACCCATAGAAGGACGATATGAGTGAGTCGGAGTGTACGTTGGTTGGACCCCCAACAAGCAAACCAACGGCCGTCAACTGTCCCTTGTGAATTTGTTGGAATGATAGACCCAAACTGAAGCACACATGTGATATTAGTAGAGTTTGATCACATTGTGAGAAAGTCCAAGCATGGATTTGTTCTTGATGCTTTTTGTCCAACGATCTGTCTTGCATCAGTGCTGCTCACTCTTGGGAGAATTGCAACCTGTCCAGGGCTGCCCTAGATCAGACATGCACCATAAATACACCTCTTTCAATACTCTAGGACTTTTTGATTCGTGGCCCACCATTGAATTTAATTGGCCTTCACTGCCATTGAATTTAAAGGTTTTCCATGGTTTTCCTAATGGGTTTTACGCTACAAAACCAGGTCGCCTCCCATATTTTGCATGGTCGAACCAAAGGCTCTTTCAGTACATCTTTGGCTTCACCCAGAATCGCTCTAACTAGAAGACCCAAAACGACCCTAGGCCCTAGATTCGTCAAGGAACCCTGTCTAGTTCCCTGTTGGAGTGACATGACTGCATCACATGTTGTTGGCTCTGTTCTTTCTTGGGATGGCTCTGTTCACCTGTGCTCTATTACCTTTAGATATGAAGGAGATACTGTAGATCGGCGAGATCGGCAATTCTTCGCTGTTCAATCCTGCCAGGTCCTTCACCCACCGTCGTAGAAGTGGAGTTTCTGGTGACCTGAAGATGAGTCGCGCCCGTCGCGTGGAACTCGTTTTTTGGATGAGGCGCGACTCACCCACAAACAAAAATTCCCGCGCGGAAGTCCCGCCTTTTGTGATCAGTGCCAAGGGCGGGAGGAAACACTTTTCGTCGCCTTAGATAAGATCCACGTGTGGACAAAACGAGCTGGAACCCATTTTCAGCGATCCGTATGTTGAAAAGAAAACACGTCGAAACTTACTCAGGTCCGCCCTGTCATAGCAATAAACTTCCCTCTGCTTCATGCCCCAAGGGTTTTTGCTTCTTCCCTGCAGTTTCCCGCCCGAACGCCCTCTTCGGAGCTCCCAAACGCCCTCCCACCGGCAGCGCCGTCCACTCCGCTTCGGGCAGTTCCCGAGCTCGTCCGAGCACCCTTGGAGAGGGTCGGTATACCGGGTCCAAGCCGGTACGTTGGCCATCTCTCCGTCCCAGGGACGCGCTTTTTCGCACATGTAGCTGCAGTGGAAGTTCACCTCATCCGGGCGCGTTGCCGAAGAAAGGCAGGGAACGAGTGGTTCGATCGAAAGCAGCCAACGCCACGGAAGACGCGTTTACTGCAGTGGACGGGTGTGAAACAGAGGGAACAAGATGGAGAACAGTATATAGTGGGTTCTCGGAGTATGAGTATGAGTGGGTAAAAGCGGGGCCTTTATAATGGGAATAGAAACTGAGATCAAAACAAACAGATTATGAACGACCTTGGAAAAAAAGATATGCAAGAACAAGCTCACATATGCCCACATATAATTACTGTCCTCAGAACCAATTCTGTATCCCATGACACCCATTGAATGGTACTGGTTTGTATCCGAAAACAAATCAATGAGCGGTGTCCTGCACATGTGGGTCGAGGGCGAGATGTTTGTTAACTTAGAAACTCTCCCCGGTCTGGAAAAACATGCAAACATTATGTCCCTACTTCGGAAGAAGGAACGAGGGTCGGTGCCAAACATCATTTGCCCAACTTGGTTGTACACGACCGGGCGATTCCCTGATTTCATCCACGCAGCCAAGGGTGTCGATCAGACCATTCAACGCAGGCAACTCTTTCATATATTACCCGGAAATCCGGCACATGACCCAGCACCTGTGGGTCGAGGGTGAGATGTTGGTCGGTTTTATTGTTTCTTAACTCAGAAACTTCCCCCCCATGATCAAGCCCCTCCAAGAGGCAAAAATTTCGAAGGGCGAATCCAGGAGCGAACCGAACCTGGGATGGTCAAACAAAGGATTGGAGCTCTGTTTGAGAAATAATGCCTCAGTTGGGAGTTTTGCGTGGCATCTACGGCTTGCTGGGCTTCAAGAATTCTGGAAAGGGGCAACTGATCAACCTAGACCAGATTGTGGGACAATGGGCTGGGCTGGTCATCATGTGTCAACCAACCTCCTCCATTTCTTCGTCACATGTTTCTTCCGCAAGCTTTGCAAGCTGTCGCGATTTGCAGCCTGATTAGGTGACCGATATGAAGTGACACATGATGGCAACCCTGTCAGTTCTCACCAGGGGGTGTTTTCCCGGGTGAAAAGCAGCAAGCCTCAGCTGAGCAACATGGGTTTCCCCACCCTCGTGCACCTCAGGTATTCACTGATGTATGCAGCTTCAATGTGACCCTGTTCTGAAACCCAGCAACCATGCTGCTTACCAACGATGATTTCTTGAGGAAAACCCCTTTAAAGAATACGAGCCAAGACAGGTTCTGTAGGTTCTATAATCTGCCTTTGATTTACGAGGAATGTTTTTTCATCCCATTATCCCTGTGACTGGTAATGGGACACCCCAAAAATAGATGATACAGCTCTTAAACCTGGAGCTTCCCAACTATGGTCTACAGTAATGAGTAGATTGTTACCACTTGATGCCCCAAAACAAGTGGATCGTCTGATTCATGCCCATTTGATTCGGCTTCTCATCGTCTTCTGGAGGCAATCGCCGGCTCGACCGCCGTTCTCCAAGCGGCATCGTCTGGCACAGCTCGTCATCTGCCTCGGCTCGGAGTGAAACTGGTCGAGCGACGGATGTGGCCTGCCAGCTTTGGGAGACACGAGTGTCGTCACGTGGACTAAATCACCTCGTGTTTCCGTGAAAGCATAGACATGCGCTTCTTCTTCATTGCAAATCATACTGAATGCTCGCCATGAGACAAAACGTCCGACTAGCAAGTTGAGAACCCTGCATTCGGGATTGCAAGGAATGATTTGGACCAACGTCTGTACCAATTGGTAGCTCAATTGTCTTCGTCATCCCACGCCATTCTACCAATCATCACGCATCACCATCTTGCCGGAGACATCCCTCGCTTTCCTCGACCCATTGGTGGCCCCAATGGATCTACTTGACATATCCTCAAGTACGTGAGTGCCGGAGAGCCATCCAAGCCCCAACATCTACTTGACATATACTCAAAAGTTGATCTATATACAGTACTGGGACTACCAGGACCATCCTGTCTGGTTCACCTGGCAGGACGGACTTCCCTACCACCTGGTCGGATCTCCGGACACCCAGACACCCAGACAGACTGGTGTAGGTATAGATCAGGATAGATCAGGTATATAGTATATATATATATATAGAGAGAGAGAAAGTGACCACCCAGTCGTCAAAAACAAAGAACTGTAAGTTCCTGAAACACTTGTATGACATACATCTACGTGATTCTACACATGCCCTGGGCCCTCCTCTCCACTCTCAACCCGGGCACTGGGTCTGAGCAGTTGGCCACATAGGTGCCAGCATCTCGGCGGTATGACATGAGTCTTTATTGTCTTGTTTCTTTTTGTTGGAGGGCGTGTGAAAAAAAGAATTGGATGTGGAACCTCTCAAGCTGAATATGCGGAAACCTGATGATGTTTTGACATGTTTTGACTAGCCCTGAAAATATATTCTGGCCCATACCCAGGAACCCATCTAATCTATAGAATGGTGCTTTGACCCCCCAACAAAGAAGAGGAGCTTGTGATGGTCAACTTGGCTAGTCAGTGTTGGGGTGGTTGGTCTTGTCAATGAAACCACATGCGAGGTGTTGTGTCTGTGCTTAGATGTGGTTTGGGGTGCTTAGCCTAAGCCTTCTGTTTGAACACAGCCTCGTAAGAATTTGTGTGACTGGTCAGTCCACAAAAATTAGATTGAGGGGACCATTCTACTAAGTATCCATTGCTACTAGGGTGGAGGCCATCGCTACTAGGGAGGAGGCCATCCCTACTACGGTGGAGGCCATGGCTAGTATGTTGGAGCCTACCAGGGTGGAGGCCCACCATCCCGAAGCTTCGTGCAGTCTCACAGCTTCGTGTATCGGGTGGTTCGCATCGGGGCTCGAGGGTTCTGGAGGTTCTGTGTTTCAGAAGCAAAGTCCTCGGGTCAAACAGTGGTGGCAGTGTTGCAGGGCAGCTTCATAGTGTTCAGACCTCAAGAAGAGCCGCTCTTCCACCTCAATTGATGCTTGCAAGTTCCGCGAAAGCCTCAATCATCATTTAAGAATGAACCACTTGAAACGAGGAGAGAGGAGCTTCAGATCATCTCACCATCATCTCACCATAGTTTCAACTCTCCACGTCCACCTACGTAACAGGTCGCCCCAGGGGCCCCGGGCCACCATCGTTGCAGTAGTTCCGCACTTGTTCCGCCGGATCGTTCTGGAGCTGATATCCTATGAAAGGCCTCCGCCCGCGCGCCCGCACGCCAAGACAGCCGAGCCAAGACAGAGCACACGACGCGCGCGGTCGGCACAAAAAGCCAAGGTCTGCGTTGTGTTTTTTGTGTGGAAACAGGGTGGCAAGGGTCTGCAGCTGATTGATTGTTCAGCACCGGTTGGATGAAAATGATGAAGCCCCTCTTCTGTCCTCTGTCTCTGAACACGATTCCTCCAAATTCGGCCAGTTTTTATAGGCAATATGACTGTAGGAGAGTGGAACAACTAAGGCTTGGCGGCTTGGCTAGGAACTTAGTCCCATTAAATATGATGTCCACGCAGCTGTTCAGCTGTTTTCCCGGATATCAGTCTGCGCACTGGATCAGTCTCAAACGAAGATCCTCCCTCCTCCAGCGCAGCTCCAGGAGTCACAACGGTCACAACGGTCCCTCCGTCTGCTCCAGTCTGGGCACGTTCCATCCACTGGATTTAAGATGATCAAGGTGAAGGGATTGTTGGGGATCTCATCTGTGTACCTCAGGAGTGCTGCAGGTGCAAGCAGAATGCTGCCATGTGGACTAGACTACGCCATGTGGACTAGACTGTGCCATGTGGACTAGGCCATCAGTCGAAAAAAATGAACCAGGACCAGGACCTGGACCTTGCCTCAATTGCGGAAGACACGCGTCGACTAGACAAGGCCCATCAAGGCGCATAGCTCACTCGAGAGTTAGTTCGCTACGGGAGCTTCACTTTACGCAGGTCATGGCCTCCATCGCTGCGATTGGTTTCTTTCTGGTGTTGTGGGCAACACACGAACCAATACCATCTTCAATGACCTAAATGTGGGCAAGGCAATTAGTGCATTGAAGTAGAGGTTCTGCCCCGACCTCTCTCATGTGGTCAGGTCCCTCTCTGCTTTCGGAGTTTACTCTCATCATGCTCTGATCAAAAGCAACTCCTTAAAGAAGCCCCTCTCCTTTTTCCTTGAAATCCATCTTCGAATTGTACAGAGCTGGTATGTGGGACAGCTGGCTGGTTGGCAGCTTCGGCTACGCCAGCAATGAAAAGACACCTTGACAACTAGACATTGCCATTGCTACTATATAGTTCGGGCTGCTTGCATCGTTCATCCAGCGCACTTTCACTATCACATGAGATAAAGACAACCCAATCGCTGGTCCTTTCCCTGAGGGCGGCTCAGGAAGGATAGTAGGGATCAACAACACCTCACAGTCTTGCAACGCTAATGGACTCATTGGCAAGACCTTGAGGTTTTCAAGAGTTTCCGGTTTTCACCTGATGGCCAAGGGATCAAAGGCAAACTGATCAAACGTGCCGAAACCAGCCCAGTCACGCCATATTGAGGAAAAAGAACACGACGGCATAGATCGCGATTGGAATATGCGCCAAATAATACACAATATTCAAGCGCCTCACAAGAGTTTTGAAGCCCCCCCTACCAAAAAAACGGGCCAGCCCAGGCCGGTTCTTTGTGTGCCTCGTGCCCGGCTGTGAATCGATTGCGAAGCGATCGGTGAACCGTTCGGGGCACGTTTGTTGGGGACGGAATCTTGGAAGCTGGAAGAGAACCAAGTAAAATGAGTAAAATGAGTAATAATTGTTTCTTCTCAGTAGACAAGAAACACGCACAATGACTCATTCATCCTCATTCCAGGTACTGGTTTTGCTTGTTGGAAGAAGACTGCTGGAATAAAGACCCGCCTGAATAACTGAATGGAGACATCTGGGCAAAATTGATGGAGACGTTTTTCTTCAAGCATCGCGGATTGATGTGAGCTTGTTACTACCTCCCCGCAAGTCGCAGGTTGATCAGGTTGGGTCAGGTTGCCTGGTGGGCAGTTCATTTCAACACTGGAGGAATGGTGTGCAATGTGTTCAGTCTTTGGCGAGAAAGACACCACCGACCAGACAGGCTAGACCTTATGTTGGATGTCATCTTGTCCCCCCCAAGAGTTCTTGGTACCAGACTCCGGTTCCGAAGCAAAAAGGAGGCGTTCAACAGTTGAACCAAACTCAGAAGTCATCTTTTTGTATTAACAGCTAGCTGCGAGCTGCGAAGCCTGGTATCACGACTGTTTATATTAATATGGTGATCTATTGTTTCCGAAAGAAAAGTCTTCACACATTCAAACTGCCATTTGTTTCGCAGCAGGGGATACCTACATTGCCAGAGTGCTTGGTCTCGTCTTGTGAGGACCCCCCCTCTCGTGCCACCCTCATTGACCGTGCCTGTTTCGGATGATGACCTTCTTTGGCAGCGAGAGCTGTACAGGAAAGTAGTCGATGACGATCGACATGGCGAGAATCGAAGCACAGGAGCACAGGTCTTCACCCAACGAACCCGCTGCGCATGTTGATGGGACCCCCAGGCGAGCGGCCTGAGGAATATCCTTCGCTGCTAGGCGGCTGCTAGTCTGGAGTTTGTACCAAAACCCAAAATGGTTACACTGAAAAAGCACAACGGCCAACTCCCTTTTCCTACCGCTCTCGGGCCGCGACGGGCTGTCGGAATAACACCTGCCCCCTATGGAGCAGATGCCCGACGCCGCCGGTAGGTACGCTTTCGTACCGCGGCGTCTGCTCGGAGGCGTTTTGCCTCCTCAGTGTCCTTCAGCGCCCACATGCCGTCCTCCATGACCGCGACCAGCTTCTGGTTTCCCACCAGCTTCGTGAGGTCGTCCGCTAGGATCTCTTCTCCTGGAACCCATCGCACCATCCGAGACCCTCCGTCCTCATGAAGTGCCTGCCTCATCGAAGCCACGTCAATGGCCAATCGCTTGTCCTCTCCGAGCGATGTGCCATTCAGCAGGTCATAGCCAGTCTTGGAGTCCATCACGGCTACCTGGCGCCACCTGGCCACCGACTGGAGCCAGGTCTTCAGGGAGAAATTCTTCTCCAATGCTTCGGCCATCAAAGCTCTCAAGAAGTCTGCCTCCTCCATGGCCATCGCTGCCTGCGACACTTCCGCCGCCAGGGATGAGCGCACCACTCGCTTCAGCAAACCTGAGTGAAAGGCCAGGATGTTGACCGGAGCTTCTCCCTCTAGAACCTTAGGGTTGGCCACCAGAAGCACCATGCCACCTTGGGATCGACCCTTGGGCATGCCCCCAAATGAAGCGTCAGACACCGCCAGCACCATCATGTCGCTGATGTGGCAACCCAAGTGACGAAACACTTGATGATGGGGTTCCCTAGCTCTCTCCACCAAGATCTTCAGCTCTGAAAGGGCCGTTGGGTCATTGGTGCCATTCAGTTGTTGAATCCTCGAACAACCATACAGCAAATCGGCCCTCACCTGCCTCGCCAACCAGCTCAGCTGACCAATGATGGTCCCAATCCAGGCCTTCTCATTGGGCATCAGCGGCTGTCGGCTCTGTGGATTGGACCTCGATGGTGGATCCTTCACCTTCTTCGAGTACTCGTTCATCTGCAAGGTGATCGAGTAGTCGTCGTTCTGCCTCTCCCACAGGCCACAGAACTTGGTGTCCTCCTTCGGGTGCACCCAATCACCAAAAGTAAACAGGGACTTGAGCTGCGGCCACAACTTGTGTTCAGCTTCTTCGCTTCCGATGAATCGGACATCATCCACATGGACTGCTAGCATCGCCCACACTTGCCCTTCAGGGTCATAGAAAGCGAACACTCCTGGCGCCAATCGAAGCTCCTTGCCGCCAATGCTCATGATGTCCCTGCTGAATCGCTGATACCAAAGTCGAGGACTCTCAGCTAACCCAAAGCCAGCCTTCTTCATACGAAAGAGATCAGTACGTGCCCCAGGAGGCACTTTGGTCAGCAGGAACTGACGCACAAACAGCGGGTAGTTCTTGGGTGACTGCACAAACACTCTCCGGCCCTCTGGAAGATAGTCACCCTGCAAGAATGCCGCGGAGATGTCGGCAAAGTACATGCGCCAACGAAATTGAGCTGCCACAAAGCAAAGGAAGTTGTGGGCAACCAGACTAGCTGTTGGAGCATCAGTCGCATAGTCACCCGCCCTTTGATCTCGATGTCCAGCAATCACCAACCGTGCTTTAAGCTTTGCCAGAGCCAAGTCTTCATCTGTCGGATGTATATTCTTGGGATCAGCCTTGTTCACTAGAACAAATCGACTTGGCAGCACTTCGGATGCATGCACTTCCTCTTCTGGCATCACCGGAGCGAGGGCATCATGATCGAAGTAGATCTGCAAAGCGTCGAGAATCGGTTGCTCAAATGCCTTCTGCCAAGCCATTGACAGCTGTGTCCATTGCAACTCCAGCCGCATTTTGCCAGTCTCTGGTTTCTCCACATCAGCTTCCGGAACCAGTAGGAGTTGCTCGGCTGTGCACAATTCAGTCAAACCACGATGGTCGGGATGAGCGGTTGGAGCAGCCAGGGCAGCAGTTGTCTGAAAAGCCTGAAAGCACTCTAGCACATCCAAGGCTACCTCCAACCGATGAGATTGGTCAGCATGTAGTCCATCGGCCGTGTCAATAAAGTTGGCCGCATGCCCTTCAGCCACCAACACCTGGTAAGCGGCATTGGCTTTGAGATGTCTCCTCCACAAATCTTCCGCAGCAGCTCTTCCTTGATTCCAGGTGGCCAAGATAGGGTGGTCCTTCATGGGATCCATAGCGACGAACCGAGTGACGCCTCGCCACAATTGATTCATGTGCACCGAAGCGTTCCAGCCCTTCCAGAAGATGTTATCCACCAAGTACTCCTTGGACGCCTGGGGCGACAGGTACCCCACCTGAGTCGCCCGTAGCCCTTGTAGTCCAGGTACTTCAGAAGGAACACATTGTGCATCTTGTGGGTGGTCTTCATCAGGGATCACGCCCGGCACAAAGAGGTACTGCCGAGGTTGAAGGTGCACTCGCCATAGCTCTCGCTGCGAAGGCGCATGCAGCCAATAGTCAGACTCACCGCTCAATCGTAGCAACATCTCACCCGGCAAATTCGCTTCCATGTAGTCACTGAGTTCATCTAACACTTGAGCACGTCCGGGCGCCTTCTTGTAGACCTCGATGATCTCGGTGCGAGTGAGAGGTCGTCTAAGCCTCCCGGGAACATCTCCCAGCATGCGCCACTTGGCCACAGGCACTTTGGCACGAATGCATGGTGTTGGATTCCTCCGCCGGATACCGATCCTCCTCTCGCCGTCAGGTCGCCAGTCAGCCTCCAGCACGTCATAGTCCACATTGATCGGTGGGCACTCCCTCAACATGTCCACCACGTACATATCATGCGAGACTTCATGGGGGTTGCCCTGATCATCATAGACATTGGGCACCGCAAACATGTCAACCTCAATGAATGGCGAGTCCATTGACGGTGAAGTCTCATTGGTATCCTCTGAAAACGGGCTATAGCAGGGGTCTGCACTGTTCGGCACCTCCGACTCGCCCCCTTCTTCAACAAGCTCACAATCCCGGACAGGCACGACCACCATGGCCTCCTTTTTCTCAAGCTTCGTCTTCATCTTCTTCAGGTGTTCTTGGGTCGACTTAAAGGCAGTCTCATAGAAATCTCGCTTCTGCCTGACTGATGTCAAAGCTGGGTCGACTGCCGAAGACGAAGCCACCGTAGCCCTGATAGACGAAGCTTCCGCATCCAGCTTGCGCCTCGTCGATCTATCAGCTTGCCCTTGATCTGCTTTCTGTTTGATCTTCTGCGCCACCGAGATGGGTATGTCATCTAACACAGAAGTGGCACGGTGGAGATCCTCTACTCGCACGGGCTTGTCCTCAACCGGTTGTTCATCATCACTGAACTCTATAGGCGGGTACCGGGGATCAGGATCGACAGGTGCTGGCAAGGATACCGGCTCATCTTCCGGTACAATGTCTGCATTCACTCTGCCCGACTGGAGTTTCTTCATCAGGTCTTGTAGAGCTTCCTTGGTCACCTTTGTGGACTCAATCTCATCTCCAGTTGCCAATCGAACATGTTCTAGAGGTAGTCCACGAAGCTTGTGCCTGTATCTAATCCACACCCGCTTGATCGCCCCGTCGAACCTTTCCACGGCCACCACCACGGCTGGTCCCACCCAAGACACTTGGTCCTGCAATCGACGGGCCAGTCCGCGACGACTCACAGGCGGCTCGTAGAACATGACCATCGAGCCCTCCACCATCAGTTCTAACCGAGGTAGCCTCGCCCTCGATCCCGCAGCCTTCTTCAATGCATCGCTCGCCTCCAACCACTGGTACGCCTCGGTGGCTGCTCGTCTGATCGAGCTCGCCCGATGGATTGCTTCATCCATGGTCTGAGGGTTGGCTACCTGGAACTTGAACTGGCCGGCAATGGCCTCCATCAGGTTGCCCGGCAGGCTCATCTCCTTGCCGAAAATCAGCTGCACAGGGAAAATTTCCTGCTACTCGGGCCTGTAGGTTTCGAGATGCCACCGCCGAGGCCACTGCCGTCTGCACCTCCTCTAGGCCTATGACAGTCTTCTCCTTGATGATCTTCATGACCAACAGTTTCAAGACGGACCCATGCCTCTCTGCCAGTCCCATCCGCCAGGAGGCGCTTGGCGGCACCATGTCGTGGTAGATGCTGAAGGTCCGGAGAAGGCTTTCCACCTGACCTTGAAATTCTGGCCCCTGGTCCGTCATTAGCACATTTGGTGCACCGAAGGCCCTAATCCAACCATCCCTCAGCAGAGACAAAGTGCTTTGGGCCGAGGCATCCACCGTTGCAATCGCCATCTGGTAGAGCGAGAAGGCGTCCAGGACGTGGGTGACCGCAAACTTGGTCGCCTTAGCATCCCAGACATAGAAGGTGTCTGCACATGCACGGACATTGAAGGACATGGGCCGTGCATAGGCCGCCTTCGGAGTGGTGTGTGGTGCCACCACCTGTTTGCAGATCTGGCAGTCCAGGTCCTTGATGGCCTGCAAAACCACCGACTTCGCCCCATTCTGTGACATCATCCTGGCCAGCTTGTCATTGCTGATGTGGCCCAGCGCCACATGAAGGTGAGCCAGTGTGGAGCGCACCTTTCTGCTGAGTCCATTTGAAGCACCCAGGAAGGAGATGTAGTCATACCTGTGCAGGCCGTCAGTTACTGCCATCTGTTGCCTTAGCTGTCCTTCTGCCGTAGGTTCCACCTCCACGGGCACTGCCTCCCACACTCTGGTATCAGGTGTATGTTGATGGAGCTCGACCTTCATACTCTCATTCTCATCCATCAGAGCCTCCAATCCACTCAGCAGCCAGTCGCAAAACCCATCAGGCCATTGTGCCGCCAGTGTTGATCGTCTCACCGATTTCATCTTGCCCACTTGCTGATCCCAGACTTGGACAGATCCTTCAATCGGCTGGTGTTCACCCGGTTGGCATTCACACAGGCGCTGAGGGAACA